GTAGTAATTATAGTTCAACTATAATTCCTTTTCCAGTTCAATAGACCCGTGCATTACACGCGTAATTGTTGTGTGGCTTTACACGCAACCATCCGAAAACATCCAAACCGAAGCCTCCACAATTTGGGGGTCTACCTTTTGCAATGAAAGCACGGACTTGTGAACAACAATTTAGGCCAAGTGCCGTTTGTGTTTCTGTGTCTAGGTGGAGGATGCCCCATAGTAATGATTACTTGGAGTTCCACAGTTTTTCATTACATCCACGAATATGGAAAAATAGGGTTTGTAAGGTTATAGGCACCTCCGAGGAGGTTTTAGGGTTTATGTCGTGAACCCTAAGCCCTAAACCGCGCGGGATACCCTATCTTGTTTTCGAGATGGCAATGCGTGCTTCCCACAAGCAATGGTGGAACGTTCAAAGAGATTCGGTGCGTTCGTCTTGCTTCAGTGAACAAATATTGGTACCGAGCAGCTGCATACTTGGATCCAACTCGGGCCAAGTCAACATGAACGTTCCTCGCAATCTTCCTCGGCTGTATGAGCACGTTGATACCAAAGTATTTCACCACTCGGAAGCTAAATCCTATAAACCCTATATTTGCAAGGGCATACATCCTCCGCTGGGCACAATGTTGACACAGTCCAGGCCAGCAGACATGCACGTACTTGCAGTCTGCACGAGCTAGGGTCTACGCACACTCCTCCCTGCTTACATTGAAATTCTATGGGGAATGATATAGGTGTGTATTATGGGAGTTTAGACTGTAGCTCACGTGGTAAGTTGTCAAAAGTGTGATTCCTTTGTTGGTCCCCATTGTAATACGGCCCCCGATATTCAGATACCCGAAATGGGACCATAAACTCGCAATAACGCCCTACAACCAGCAGGTTTTTAATGTTTAGAGCCCCCCCCCCCCACCCTCCCCCCCGAAGAAGAGAGAAAGCCCGAATCCCAGTGAACAACGGTCAGAACAATGTCTTCGGAATCCCAAAGTGAGACCCCATAGTTCCATAATCATCCCCAGGTAGGCTATACCCTACTTTGAGACACAGAAGTTTAGGGTTGAGGGTTTAGGGTATGAGATGTAGCTATGATGGACTAGAACCAGCGTGCCCCCACGTTCGACTCCTGCAGGCCCACTAGAATTGAGGGTCTAAACCTTCAGCATGAGCTCCACAACGCCAGCCACCAACTCTACAAAAAAGCTGCAATCCCAGTTCATACAAATCCCTAAATCCTGAACCCTAAACTCTAAACTCCTGATCTTCGGACGAGTTGTGACCCACGAGTTCAGGGTCAGGGCGACTTAGTGTACATACTTGTACAACTTCTATGAGCCAAATGAGCTATGGTTTGAACTCCTTAAAGGTGGTTATATAGGGGATTACATAGCAGAGTAGTATAAGGGTTAGTAATTGGGATACTCGGAGTCTAGACTATAGCTCACATAGCAACCCCAGCCATCCCCATAACTAGTTGCTTGCAAAATCCTCTCTTCTCTCTCTCTCTCTCTCTCTCTCTCTCTGTGTAAACCTCTCTAAACCTCAAACCCTTATCCCTAACATGCGTAAAACCCCCCTTGGCCTTCCAGTCAGCTCTTAGCTGAGGCTTCTTTGCAGTTACCCGGCCCACTGCTACCGGCCCCTGGGAACTCGGCTACTGGGCAACTGGGCTGCAACCCTGAACTCAAACCCTGACAACGTAAAACCAAACACACTAAGCCCTCAACCCTAACCCTATAAGGCTCCATGTAGGTACTATTTATAGGGTTTGGGGCCCAAGGTAGGTACTATTTCTAGAGTTAGAGCCCTAGGGTAACATCTTAATCCCCGAAACCCTAACACGCTAACACCCTGGCATAGGTTTAGGGTTGATCAAAACTCCGGTTCCCAAGATGGTTCGTACTGAAACTGGGCTTAGGGGTTTAGGGGTTTAGGGGTGTAGGGGTTGGGGTTTAGAGTTGTTCCCTGAAATCTTCCCTTGTAATCGGCCTACAGGAAACCTAAACGATTTCTTGTGGTTTTTAGATCAACCTCCATTGCAGGGTTCGAGGTCTCAGTTCCTTACATCCGAGAAATTCTGCGACTCCAGGGTTATAGGTGGTGGAAGATGTCCTCCATCAAGAGAGGCTTCCTAATGACACAGTTGATACTAAAATCTTGCTTGATACTCAAATCCTGCTTGACCTCAATACCGTACACCACCCATGAATTCCGAAGTACAAGGTACTTAAGCTCATGCATGATTCTTAAGTATGGTATGATTTTGAAACCCTAAACCTAAAAGGGGGGGGGTTGTATAGGGGATTAGACTATAGCTCAAATAGGGGCTCTTCTCTTTTGGTAGCGCACTGGACGAGTATCATGCGCTCCCAAGCAGCAGGTGGGATATCCTCAACTCCTTAAGCCCAAAATTCATGGAAAAGAACATGGAAACTACTATTTAGGGTTTAGGGTTTAGGGGGTTGAGGGTTTATTTGGAGGGTCAGGAGGACTTCGTAAGTAGGCTAATAACCGCTGTAACCCATGGGGTAACCCTAGCTATTCTTAACCTACTTACTAATTCCCGCGGACCCTCCAAGTACGGTTTAGAGTTCAGGATTCCGGGTTTGCGAATTCAGCTGATTTCTTCTTTATCTTCTCACCACTTGACTCCTCTTGCAGTGCAAGCAAAAGTTTGGGGCTTCCTTGGTCACTGGGAACTATGCTCTCCTCTCCTCGTCCCCTGCCTTTCCTCCCTTTTTAACGCTGGGTCTTGCTGGCCGCCCCTCTTTGTGTCTGTGCTGTGCCCCTATACTTGTATCCTCTTTCCGTGTGATCTTGTTCCTGGTTCCTATGCATACCTCCCCCCATGCCATGTGTGAAGCACGCGCTCACCAACTACCAAAGATGTGTCCCGCAATGTCCGCTATTAGGGAGTTTGCAATGATTGGGGGGGGGGGGGGGAGGGGGTGTATATTCTTGGCAACACCATACTGTAGGTTCCCGGAGACTTGCCGCGGCGCCCCTCTCCCTTTTATAGTCGATATTTATTCACGGTGGTAGATATCGCCCCCAGAGACCCTGTCAAAGTATTCACGCCCTTTCCGAACACCGCACGCGTTAAGAACGTTAGCCCAAGTACGGAGGATATGGAAAGCTTTGCTAATTGCGTCAGCCGAAGCCCTAAACCCAAAACCCTTCTACTTTGTGTTCATTAGGGACTGGATCCCCTACAGTACCGTAGCCCTGGTATACTTGCTGGTAATGAGGGAGTGCCTAACCCTAAACCTTAAGCCACATATTTTTGACCTTAAATCGTACACCCCAGATCTTACACTATATGTCCTAAATCCTGAATTCTAAACCCTAACTCCCAAACCCCGAATCCTGAATTCTGTCAAGCTTGGAGGAATCCGCTGAGGCCTTCAACGACCGAAGCTGGGCCAGATTGCGGGTTCAGGGCTTAGGGCTGTTTAGCGTGTGGGGTTTAGGGATTTGGATTTAGGGTTTAGGGTTGGGGGCTTGGGGTTTAGGGTTTAGGGGGTTTAGGGATTAGGGTGTAGGGTTTAGTGTTTGGGCTTGGGTTTTAGGGATGAGGGTTTTGGGTTCAGGAGTAGGAGGTTTACGTTTGAGGTTTCAGAATGGCAGGAGGGGTAAGGGTTGAAGGTCTAGGATCGAGGTCTATCAGCTATAAGGGTTTCGCTTTGAGGCTTTAGTTTCTTGGTTGTAGGATTTAGGGTCAATGCTTTAGTTTTGAGGATCCAATTTTATTCCTTTTGCCCGCATATCCAGCGCCTCCCGAGCGGTGATCTTGAGTATGAGGGCCATCCCTCATACTAGGGGCATGTGGTGTTTAAAGCTAGGTGACAGGGCCAGATTGCTCTGGGGCATGTTGGGGGGTTAGGGTTTAGGGCTCAGGGTTTGGGTTTGGGGCTTATATAGGGTTTAAGGTTTTTGGTTTAGGGCTTGTCCTATGTAATTCTCCATTCCACAACACCACAGCAGCTATGCTTTGCTTTGCGGTAGGTAGGCTCGTGCAGGTTTGGTCAGCTAAGCCCTGAGCCCAAAACCTTAAACTCGCTTCTTTCAGCTTGAGTTGAACATTTTCTCCACAACTCGCCTTACCTTCCTCCCTCCCCCTCAACATTAATGTGAGTCTAAGGGGTACCCCGCAACGGGGAATCCAAAGAGTATAGTAGGAATCCGCCGGGACTATACCTACCGGGGTCCTTACATTCCTATATGCCCGTTTTATGCCCTTTAAGCATACCTCAGCTGACCAAGTGTGTGAGCCAATGGCCCAAACCCTTAAAAATTGGGTCCAGGTTGCTGTAATTGCATCTTCCTAGTCTTCGTTGTCCTCTCCCACTATGTGCAATCTAACAATGAAGGGGTTTTTTCGGGTTTTTCCGACTATGAGGACTATATTATATTGTGTACAATATAGACCGCTTAGGACAAGGCCAGTCGTCTTTGCATGGCCTTCTTGGGGCTTCCAAAATTTGTTTGGAAACCCAAAGCTCGAAACCCTACCTAGGCCTCTAAACTACCCCCGTTTTTAGGCGCTTAATTTTGTACATAGAAGATGTTAGACTTAAAGATAGATGCCCTCAGAAAGGGTTGGGCTTAGAGGTCCCGGTAAGAGACCCCAAGGGGCTGCGCGGAACAAATAGGAACGTGCAAAGGGGGTACGGAGCCCGTATCGTGAGAAGGACCTACGTACCCGCATAGTACGTAGTTTGGGCTTAAGCCTCTATACGCAAGCCTCAAATTTTCATGCTGCTCAGGTGCTTGGACCTGCAGGATTAAGTCTTGCAGAAGGGTATTCTTTATGAAGCATTTTTGTGAGAATGTTGACATGTCTGCCGGGTCAATGAGGAGTAGCAATCCGTTTCCTCAAAGTCACAAGTAGAATTCTTTGTAACCTCTTCAGGATCTCCTGTATGTTGCTCAAGGAGGATGGCTCGAGAGGGACATGCGTTGGCTAAGCTTTCGCTTCCTCTTCCGGTCTTCCTGCTATGATCCGCGTCTGCAAGATGTCAGGGGAGGAGCTGGTGTCTGCAAGCATAGAGGAGGTTGGCGACGCAAAGGGCCTCAAGAGCCTGCTTCGGAGTTGGTATGGTTTCCCTGTGTGTCTTCAGCAGCTCCTACACCATGGCAACAGTCTGGATGATGATGCCATGCTGCTGCTACATGTCCCCATGGACCTACAGCTAGTCTTGTTGTCCATGATTTCGCCTGCACAGCAGTACGAAGCTCACTGCGAGCTGACTGCTGCTTGCGAGGATGGGACGACCCAAGTTGTGCAGCGACTGTTGGACGCTGGTGCGCAGCCGAATCTGCAGTATGCCATGTTTGCAAATCCCAGCGGTCTTGGGGAAATTGAATCTGGCACTACCCCTCTTATGGGGGCAGCCGAGAATGGCCACACGGAGATCATAGGCTTACTCTTGGAAGCTGGTGCCGGCAAGGACTTGCAGAATCTGGGCTGATTTAAGAAGATCGAAAAAACCTGCCATTGTCCTTTCAAGGCAACCAGGCTGTTTAACCATATACCCATTTTCTGGTAGCTTACTTATGCTCCTTAACACCAATCCAGGAATTGGTCTGGAGACACAGCCCTCATGTCGGCAGCTGCAGCAGGCCAAGTGGAGTCGGTGCGGCTGCTTCTAAAAGTTGGTGCCAACAAGGAGCTGCAGAACGAACTCGGAAGCACAGCAATCGCCCTTGCAGCAAGAGACGGCCAGGTGGAGATTGTTCAGTTGCTATTGGAAGCTGGTGCAGACAAAGACGTGAAGGATGTCTGCAAGGACACAGCTCTAAGTGCTGCAGCTCGGTATGGCCACCAGGAGATTGTGCACATGCTGTCAGATGCCCCAGTCTGCACTGCATACAGATAAGTGTGAGATTGGACCGAAGAGCATCCTATCCAACATGCCAATGGCTATTTGGGGGGTTTCCACAAGTGATCTGTCCCGTTTTGTGAGTCCCTATAATACGGAATATCATGCTTTGAGATCTTTATCGGGGGCGCTCTATGCTGGAAACTACCATTTGGCACTTCTCTAATGTACAGGGACAGCGCGCGCTTTGCTCAAGGCTTTGTCACCGGTTCGGTTGCCGTTCCTTACCGTGTGGTGCGGTGAAAAGGTGAAGCTGCTGCGGGCTGTGGATGGAGAAATTCTTGCACCACTTTATATGGGAGTGTATCAAGACAAACCCCATCGAATCCCTAGTAAAGACACCCTCCCGAAACCGTCTATAATCCGCATACATCCCTAGGGTCACTCACCCCCCCGTAGTTTGCCAAACCCCCGTATGTTTAGACTCCAATGTTTACAGTAACTTGGGATCCGATTCTATCGTTTTGGATCCTGGACCCTAAGCCTGAGACAACCTCAATTCACGGTGTGGTTTGTTCGAAGGGCCCTGGTGATGCATGCTGGTGGTGCTGCAGGGAGTTAGGTTCCTGGAAGTGGTTCGCTGGCTCCAGCATTGTGTTCGTAAATAGGGGACCCCAATATGCAGACCCCAAAATACTAGCATAAAGAGTTATGGGGCCCCCAAGAACCTATTAAGGTTACTTAGGATTTTTTGTGTGTCTATAGTAGATGTCCACTTGGGCAGGCCCACTTGGGGAGGCCAGAAAACAACGATGGGACTGAGGAGCCATCGCTTTGCAGGAACGTGGTATTCGTAGACATAGCAGAACAACAATATATGAGTTTCCCAAGATTAAGGGTACCTTGTTGGGGGCCCGCATGATCTGGATCATAGTATATTGAGTGAGGTCTATATATTGGAGTCCCTGTCCTTTATTTATGGACACTACATCTCTGAGATATTTGCTGTGCAAAGCCACAACTTGGGTGCATCCCAATGCAATGTTTAAATTTACCGAGGCCTGAAGAATCATGTATAGTTTTCAGAGTTTGTAGGGTTAGGGCTTAGGGTGTAGGATTGTTCTCTAAGCGACTGATAGTATTCCTTTTCAATCACATTCCCCCTGCGCAGATGAAGGATATCGCACGGAAAAAGCTTTTCATCATCCACGCCCCTGCAGTACGTGCTTTCGGGGCACAAGAACCTCTAACCCGAAACCCATCAACTTCAGACGCGCAGATCTGCGACTTGGGAATAGTAGGTTTAGGCTTTATAGGGTTTAAGGTTAAGGGTGTAGGGATGCTGCCTCTACCCTATAACAAATACGTGGATTTCCAAAAATTGGCAGGGGGGGGCAAGGGTCATCTAATGAATTGGTCTGTCTTCGGCCCACTTTCTCCTTTTTATCCAAGATCGAGGGTTCAGAGTTGAGGGTTTAGTAACCCTAAGCCCTAAATCGCATAGTTTCGAAAGAATTTCTCCGTACTCAGGGTGTTCATTTGTTCTCTTTATTGCGTCTTCTACAACCACCTACCCAATACCAACTAATGGGTAATTATTGTGGGACACGCAATACAGTTTCAAGAAGCATGTAATGGCCCTAAACCTTCAACCCAAAACCCGAAACCCTAACCCCCGCCCCCCCAAATCGTAAACCTTAGACCCCGAACTTGGAGCATGTTGAAACCAATCAGTTGCGGGAGGCTATCCTTCCGCCCAGATTGTTTCGAAAGGATTGGGATTTAGGCTTTAGCCTCCTGACCCAAAACTTCCCTCCCCTACCAGACGTTCTCATAGGCATAGGAAAGGACGAGGTCTGTCACTCGGGGTTTTACATTGCTAAAACTAGCATCCTCTGAGATGCGGCTCATGAGGCGCAGAGCAGTGAAGGTAACACCTGTACGGCGAAGAATGATCGATGTGAACCCTGAAGCCCTAAATCTTGAATCCCCAAATCCATGAACTCCAAACGCCGCTGCCTACACCCTAGCATGGCGTGACATCTTGGTGAACCAAGGGGTTCGGGCCAGTCAGGTTTCCCGGATTGGGATCCCGGTAGTTGGAACTTGAGACGTGCTTAGCCCTAGGGATCCAAGTGTACAAATATTATCTACATTGGGGGCTAAAGTCTGCAAGTAGTACCTAGATTCGGCCATTCGGATCCTTAGGGTAGCATTGAACACACCAACTTTCGAGGAGGTCATATGCGAGGTAGTCAGCATTCTGGGCCTTGGGCCCCTGCTGCTAATCTGGCCCCTTGTTGTAGCTTGAAGCAATGCTGTAAGTTTCGACAACTGCACATGTCAGTGTCGACTTCCCCTACGGGTCCAAGTACCTAATAGTCATACACTTACCCCCAACCGAGGAATACTAAAATTACTATTACCCAAAACCCACGTACCTAATTATTGGGCATGTGGACCCTCTGGGTTCCATGTAACTCTGTAACTCTAAGGACAGGCGCCCAAGGGCAACCTCAGCATGCATGACGTTACCGAGATTCCGGACGAGGCTTAGTGAGATTTCATGGCTGAGTGTTGGGGGGGAATACGAGCAGGCGCAACTAACAATCGATGAAGGAACGCCTAAATTCATAGCAGTGCAATTAAGAATGTCAACTGCATAATAAGATTGCTGTCAGAGCTCGTGTAGTAGCAGTTGGCATGCAGGGATGGACTGTTGTTGCTTCAACAACCAGTACCGCATCTCTCGATTAAGTGCGGTGCATCAAGAGAGACATTGAGTAATGTAAGGGGCCTAAATTACTTCGAAGATCATGTTGAGGTCTATTGGAGGTAGCCCATACCATGTTTGTACCAGGCATCTAGGACTGCCATTTTGGTAACTAATTAGGCCCCTGTAAAAATACTACTATTATACCCATGATAATCCTAGTTTCCATTTCATTTTCCATTTTCTTTTCCATTTGATTCTCCATTATTCTCCTATATAACCCCAAAATATACCCTATAATCCCTATATGACCCATTATTATGAACCCAAACCTGCCCTCGATCCCTCAGCTCGAGGCAGGTAGCATGCCGTATAGCGTTTATATTTTACCCCAAGCCTCAAAAACTGAGCTATAGTCTAAGCGCTTCAAGGAGGGTTATATAAGGGTTATATTATATAGGGAACTACTGTAGGGGTTATGAAGGGAGATACTAGGAGTTTAGACTAGTTCAACTGAACCTGCGACCTAGCTAGAAGCTGCCTTATACACGCAAGCCCTACCCCCTAAGCCCTAAACCCTAAACCCCAAACCCAGCACCGTAGAATCCCGCAGCCCGCACCTCCCCAGGAAAATCTTAGCGTCACAAGCATGCAGCGCCAAACGCGTGTATGTTGAATATGAGTACTATAGATCCCCATATGAGCTATGGGTCAAACTGGTTAAAGGGAGCGTTTATAGGGGATTATATAGGGGAATACTATAGGGGTTATTAAAGAGGATGCTAGGAGTCTAGACTACAACTCATATAGATCAGGATAATATTCTCAGCTGGTTGTAGTAACATAAGATTATATGTCTATATATGAGAAGACTACACTAACACACCTTTACTTGGTTCAAGAACGCCCCTCAAGAGTTCAGGGTTTCCAGGGACCAATAAGAGAGTAGTATCTTATTTGGGGATACTATGGTACCCATTATAGAGTAAGATTATATCCTCCTTTTGGGGCATAGTAGTTTATATAAGGAATGTAATCTTACTGGGTTTAGCCACCAAAAAAAAACGCTACTCAAGTGTGCAGGTGAGCGAGAGTGCTGTCGGCGAAGCGGGCGTGCAGATCACCTACAGCAACCTGTCCTGAAGCACTGCCTACCCGCATTCCTGGGTAGGCCTCCTACATTTAATATGTTTCCTAGTGGCTTTGATAGGGGACCCTATATATCAAGATGTTTCAGAGGGTCTTAGGGGCCAACCCAGATTCTACCCAGTATTATATCCGAAATATCCGCTGTTAGGGACAATTTACCTCCATTCGAGGGTGCAAGGAGGCTCCTGGTATATGTAACAGCTTTGAATTCCAGTTTAGGCTTTGATGGATCTATGGGCTGGATTTATGCAGATATTCAGGTCAGGTTGTTAAAGGTTTGGGTCATGTCTCTGATCGGTTGCTGGATTCTTTTGGACTTTGGGCTTAGGGCTTTCAGTTATTGTCAATTAACAGTCAGCAGCAATGTCGCACTGGTGACATGACGGAAGGAATAGCGATGACAATGATACGAGCACAAAGAAGATGATACCAGTGCCAATGACAGGCAGAAGGCCTTTCGCGACGCTTGTATTGAGCATTTTAGTAACACGTGGTGTGTAATATTCGGGCGGCAAAAGACAGTAAGCATTCAATCAGGAGGCATGGACCACCAGAAGCCCTAAACCCTAAACCCTATATCCCCAAGCCTAGATCCCTAAACCTTGAACCCCGAGTCCCTAAACCCTAAATCCCTCAGATCCTAAAACCTAAACCCTAAACCTCAAACCCTGAACCACAGGCTCTGCAGCCGGAGCCTTAAACCCTCAGGAACGGACCCTGAATTAGGGTTCAGGGCTTAGGGTTTGGGGTTCAGGCTTTAGGGTTTAGGGTTTAGAGTTTAGGGCTACGGACCTAGACTCCAATCCTCAGATCCTCTCTGCATCCTAGTATTCGATCGATTGTTTGGCTTTCTCAACATTGGACTAAACCCTGAGCCCTAAACCCTAAAAGTCCAACTTCCTGTCAGAAACATCTCGGGGTCCGCCTTACAGATCCCAGAGATTGCAACTGGTCAAGAATTCCCCTGTAGTCCTAATATGGGCCATAATCTAAACTCCTTAACGGGGGTTCTATAGGGGATTATATAGGGGATTATTCAGCGGAGTTCAGACTATAGCTCATATGGTAGATTGTCCAAATAATGGTCCCGATCGGGTCCGGAGTCGCGGCCCCTAGTGCTTCGGGTACCCCAAGACGAACCATAATTATGACAACCCTCCACATGTACCAGCCCTAATCCCTAAACCCTACCAAC